AAACAAACAAACAAACAAACAAACAAACAAACAAACAAACAAACAAACAAACAAACAAACAAACAAACAAACAAACAAACAAACAAACAAACAAAACCTTTCAGGGCACATTTTAAAAAGATATTAACATCTGTATATCAAACACTGAGGTTTGTTTTCTTCTTCTCTTCAGATCGCATATGTTTAACTCAAGGCCTGTGGGCCAAATATGGTCCACCAATTTATTTTGTGGCCCACAAGAGCTTCAAAAATGTATGCTCCTTTAAAGCCAGCACTGATCATAAACTAAATCTCCCACAATGCATGTTGATTATTTCACCTGCAAAATGACGGCATCCCACCACTAGGCGGAGGTGCAAAGGTTTTTAAGGTAGCTGAGAACATACGCTGTGCAAAATCTCCATTTTGCTGTATTTTCACCGACTATATTTGCTGCATCCCAGTTGTACTGGGATGTGGGAATTTCCCACTTCAAAGATGTAAATTTAAACCGGAACATCCCTCCAGTGGGAATTATCTGTCAGGAAGTGGGAGATTTTAGAAATCAAGATGGCTACTCGCCACAACTCACCAGTGAGTAAAACTCTCTTACTTTTACTTTTAATTGTATTTCTGAATTATTTATTTCTCATTTAGTCAGTCATACATGTCGTACTTTTCAGTGTTTATAGGAAGACGTGTTAAAATGCTGCTCATGTGGCCCTTGATGAAAACAAGTTTGACGCCTCAGCTTTAGATCTATTGAGTATTCATCTTTGCAGGTCTCCCTTCTTTTGTCTTTGTGTAGAAATGAACAATATTGTAGCCATACTTTCCTCTGCCTCTGGTGGCTTAAAGTACAGCAAGCATTCACCAACTCCAAGACAGGTTTAATCAACCCTATAGTTTGGAATACCACCCCAGACTGCAATTGTACAAAAAATATGAAGAACACTTGAATTTTATTGCCTGCATTCCCACCTGACACTAGTCTGAGGTGTACTTGTGAAAATAAAACCAGAGATAGCTGAAGTGACTTGACAAAACAAGATCCACTTTAACCAATGCTGAAACTTCTCAAATGTTTTTTCTATGTTGTGAGACAACTGGTATGTGACAAGACAAACTGTTTTCATTAGTTCTGGTTTTAGACCAGGCAACCTCTCTGACCCAACTACCCTGACTTTTATTAAGGTCACAATATTTAGGACATGTTCTGGGTTGAATGACATTTACAAGACTCACTAACTTTCCTCTCACAACTCCCCAAAAGACAAAATCTCTTATAATTGTTTGGGTTTCAGTCCTCACTTCACCTGCCTAACTGCAGAAAAAAAAAAGATATTAACTCAAATGCCTTCTCCTTATGACTGAGCGCACGGTTTAATGTTTATCTGCTTCGTGTCTTGGGGGTTGGGTCTCAGTCCTCCACAGTCACTATTGAATATTCCATTGGAGAAATCTTGAATATACACGCATGTTCACAACTGCTCACAGACAGGTGTTCTGATCCGGGGGTTCTGACTGGTCACTGAGTGTGTATATATGTCTGTGTGTATATACGGACAATATTTATGAATGTAGGCATGTATGTATGTATATCTTTATATATGTATGGGTATGTGTATATTTTTATATAAGCCCCCCATGTATTTATCCATTTATTTTTCAGGTGAGCGGACAGATGTTGGGTGTGTGGTCCTGTGTTTTGTTGGTGTATATTTAATATACTTCTAATCGCTATTTCAATCTTTCTACCTTTCTAATTACTTCTCTCTGTTTTTCTCTCTGTCTCTATTTTCTCTTCACTTAAAAAAAGTCAGTGATGATGAATAAATAAATAAATTAATAAACTAATATTTAGTTTAGTTTTCTACTGAAGTGACAAAAAATGTTTGTTTGTCTATAAATCCATTMATCATTTGCCTAAGAAGACCCAGGCATTTTTTCCACCATTACCTCTTTCATGTAGATTCCAAGGTATTCCCAGGCCAGCTTTCCAGTCTTACCAGTGTGTCCTTGGTCTTCTTCGGGGTCTTTTTCCAGTTGGAGATACCCCGAACACATTCCCAGGAAGGCATCCAGGTGGTGGCCTTAGTGAGGGTGTATTCATTTGATTGTGTGACTTCTTTTTGATTTCACATTTAGGCTCAATGTCATATTGTTCTCCTGCCTGGAGCTTGGAGGCTCTGAATGGGTGGGTGTGTGGTGGGGGCTTGTGTTTGCATATTACACTCTGTACTTTCACTCTTGTAAAGCCCCACAGGGATTTTCTTTGACGGCGTCAGGCCTTTGAACTTCCTGTGACATCGAGCATCAGGTCACTTGTGTACAACCTCCACACAAAGAGAAGTCATCCTAATTGGCCCGTGTGCACCTGAGAGACAGTTGGGACATCAAAGTGCTCTGCAGCCCTGTCGATAACAGCTTTGATGGGGTGACTTTGAGACTGCAGATTTGTGGGTTTCTACGCTAAAGAAGTGGTGCGTGTTAGCTGTTCGCTGCCTCTGACAGTTTGTGTGATCTTTGGAAGGAAATGGTTATGTATGCTGCTGTGAGCCTTTAATTAGCTTCACTCAAAGTAAAAACACGCTGCACACTAACATACAGATACGGAACTTTTCCTTAAAATGTGAAAATTAACTGGAAGACTTTCAGCTTATAAATCTGTAATACAAAATAGTAAAATGGATCTTTGTTGTTTTTTAAAGTGCTGTCATGGATTTTCAAAAAACTGGCATAAATAATTTTGAAAATCAAGCAATAAACAAGATTATTGTCTTCTGTAGCATTTTATTTGCATTTGGGCTCTTGATTTGTTCATCTCAGACTCAAGAGCCATAGCTTCCATAAGGAGCCTGTGAACCGGGTGTGCACAAACCCCAGAACCAATCAGCTAAAGAGAGGGCTTCATGAACCATGCTTGCTCCATAGTTTCACAGTGAAAATATTGTGTTAATAATGTCTATAATCATATTATTATTGTAATATCATTAAGTCTGGTGCAATGTCTATCTCAGTCCCACTTCTGAGTTAAAACAGCTGAGTCTTTATATTGCCTTTTAGTGTTATGAATATCAGCTGTGTCTTTGTCCAACCCCTCAATTTGCAAGAAAGTGGACAGGTGGCAACTTCTGGTAGGGCTGGAGGGTGCTGTCAGCCCCATATGGTCCTGCAGCTGACCAGACAGCCAGAAAACACATAAAGTGGGGGTGGGGGTCAGAAATGAGAAAGGAAATAGACGAGGGGGTAATGGACGTAGTCCGGACCAAAGCAGAGAGCCCCTGTGTCCAAGCCTGAGCCCGGAGCTCTATACCGCTGTTTCAGTTTCAACAAGAGGCTACGTCCCCTCTTAACTTCAACAGGCGTGACAAAGTGATTGGTTTCGCCACCAGCATAATGGCCAGCCATGAATGCTGAGTGTGACTGCGGGGGACTATTAGGGCCACAATAGTCGACAAGACACTAAGCACTCCCCAGAGGTCTGAGAGGGCCTTTCATGCCAGCCCTGGGGTTGGGTCGGCCAMTGGGAACTGGTGACCAGCTGGGTCTTTGGCCCTTGTATAGCCTAATGCCATCAGCATTCTTTGGTGTTTTTAAGCTGCAAGCCGTATGGCGGCACTGGAGTGTAAGGTCTATGATACACATGCAGCTTGTTTTTAATATAAACAGATAAGAAGAAAAGATCTGGTGCTACATGAAAGCACTTAATCACTCCTTATACTGTTTGTGCAAATATGGTTATTTTTTTACACCTGATTTTAGCAAAATAAACTTAATTTAAAACACTTTATGTTAGATTTTTTTCTTGCGCCAGTGTTTTTTTCCCCAACATTACAAATGTCTCTAATTAACATACAAGAAAAATGACTATTCAATGCAAATGCTGGAACACTTAATTCAAGCCATTTCACACAGATTTTGCCCAAATCTTCCTTCGTCTCAGGTCCTAAAAAGCTTGCGGAAAACTTGTTTTGTCGACAGCCTGTGTGAAAGGCAAGCGGAATAAAAGGCTTTTCTCTTTGTGTGCTGGGCGGTGGCAATTTCATCTAGCCTTTTCAGGGCTGAGAGATGGCAAAAGAAAGAGAAAAGTTTGACTAATTAATGCGCTAGCAGAAATGTAGCCACCATTTCAGACAGCCACGATGAAAAGCCCATTAAAGAACATTTTGTCAATTACTTCTGCTCACTTTTATACGCTGCGGCTCTTTTTAGAGGAACTCATTTGTGTCTTATTTATTTTCTTTGCTGGCATGTTTTCCTGGCACGGCGCACAATGACAAATTAAAGCCTTAGTTTCATGGCAATGACACGGAAGGTCCCAGGCTTTATTGCAGGCTTTGAAAAACCGTCAAGGAAGCCAACAGTTGATAGCTCTTCTTTGCTTCACTGCCTCTATTTTGTTTCAGTTCATTAAAGTGTCTAATAAATTGTGAGTCCAGTCAAGGTTTTTGCACAAGTTTGCGCCTAAGTTTGAACTTAATGAGCCGAAAGCAAAAAAGATGCAACTCAAGGTGTCTTCAATGCAATTCATGTTGGTCAGAAACAAAAAGATTTACAAAATGTAGAAAAATCAAATGCTTTTTAAGGCAAGGTTTGCTGAAGTACACAACAAGACAAACTGCAATTAAATAGTTTTACATAATGGTGCGCTACGTGTGAATGATTTTTTTTTTACTTTAGTAGGAAAACTACTTTGTTAGAAGTTGTCAAAATGTGTGAGGTCTGACTAAGCAACCCAGAGTTCCATCTTGTTCAGCGTTAATAATACATCTTCAGTTTCTGCGTGTGATACTGACAAGTATTATTTAACCCCATCATACTAAAAAAAAATTTCCAGTGCTTTTAAAGTGCAGTTTTCATTGTGTGAAATCCATCCACTTTGAAAACACTCCAATACTTAAAAAAAGCCTACAGATCTTGAATACACAAAGTCGCTTCACAGCGCATCACATTTTCTTAAACTTTTTGCACTAGCAATGATGTTTGATAAAAGAATAATCCCTGAAATCAGCTGGAGTGGAAACCGTGCCACATTTATCAGGGCAAAGCATCGGCAGGCAGAACCGTCTGACAGAGGTCAGCTGATGTTGAGGTACATCAGTTTTATGAACCCTCGCCTCTCCCACGAGCTCGCTGCCACTCATGTGTTAAATGGGTCTTGTAGACAGAAGAAAATGCCTTTGTGCTGAAATAAATGGTGAGGAGAGAATGGGGTTAGCATGAGTCCTCTGAGGTGCATCAGCCTACATTTGTTCACCCTCACGTCTCTCTACGTCCTCTTATGACACRCACTGCATTGTTGACCAGACAGCTTTTAAAAGGTGCTTTTTTATTTACAGTTGCTTGTAAAGGACAGTTTCCACAGCTGTCTTTTAAAATTACTTAATTTGTGACACTAATTATTGTTTTTTTTTTTTTTGGAAAAACTGCTCACAAAATACTCTTGAAATTAAACACTTTAGTAGACACATGGTAATTTACAAGTTTCTCTGCACCACATCTGCAAAAATGCCATAAATCTGCAGAAAAAAAGAGGGGAATGTTTTTATTTTCTTTCTGGTAAAGTCAGTCGTGGAGTAGATTGACCTGAG